TTTCAAGTGACTAATGGAAAGTAGGAAACAGTATTAGAGTTTAATAATTCAAGCTAAATTGTTATGCACGAATGAACATCTGAAATCAGCTGTTATACAAATTGTAATAAATTGTTATACAAATTTCTATTGTACATAAATTTAACTATACACAAGTAAAAAGAGATATCAATATCATACAGTGATGTCATAATCATTGACATAATGATACTGACTGTCTATTCTTATGGAAATTATGTTGAATAAACAATTTTCTCATATGTTTAAGTGGTGTGTGTGTCTTGAATTATACATTAACCCACATAAGAGATTCAAAATTAAATTCATAAATTAAGACAAACAGATAAGGACAGATTGTACATATGTACTTATACCATTCAGTAAGTAGGTTGTAAAATTAATCAACTACTCAAATGTCACAATATCAATTATATTATTCGAAAAATTTTTATTGTGTTTTCCTATTTATTTGGCACTCCTTAATTCTCATATAAATATAGAGCTATCAATCGTCAAGTTGACATAAAGATGCTACTCCCCTTTTAATCCAGTGAGATTCACTAACCATTGTCAAAAGTAAAATGTATAAAATAAAGTTGGGTGAATGATTGGTCATCTCATTGGTCATCTTCACGCCATTCTGTAAAATGAATATCGGAAAGTCTTTGGATGGATAACTAGTCAGCCACAATCTAAACTTGACATTCGTGTTCTCAGGCGTGATGATTTCATCACCTTGTAGTCCAGACCATTCGAGCAATTGCATACCACACACTGCTTGGCCACAGCTTTCGCTAAATCCTTCGTCGTCTCAGTTTTACCAGTTGCTGCTGGCCCTTTTGGTGAGCCACGAAAATTTAATTTCAATGCTTCCATCAGTGTTTCAATGGAGTGATCACAAAAACATGGCAGTGTTACCTAGATATTCAAAAGCATACATTGCGCTAATTGTGATAATCGAAACCGTGATGCTATTGTTCAGTCAGTAGTATCGCAGCTATGATATCCATCGCGTCCTTCACTTGCTTTTCAAGGAGTTTGACCATATACCGCGCATGAACATTTATGACTATCATCGCGTTGATCGTTATCCTAGCTCCTGCTACACGTTGCTACACATCATAGATACGATAATATCATTTGTGGTTTTTCTTTACTGTCATACAGCCACCATCTGTTAACTAGACACATACGGTTTTCAACTGTGAAACTTCAAAACGTGCGCGCGAGAAACTTCTAAGTTTCTTCATTTATTTCTCGATTGGAAATATTTTATTTAACGTAACCGACATGAGATTAAATAGGAATTTTATAAATGTGATGTTACTGAGTTGGGGTTTCATGTTGGTATTTACCGCATTTCACGCGATGCGAAACATTGAGGTGAGTGCGAGGACAACATTGACATATGCGTTTGTGTAATATTTGTGTGTACCAATTCATTGTCGACAAAATTATTGTTAAATGTAATATGTATACGTAATGAGATATAGTGCATTCGATTACATTTCAACAATTATCAAATACACATACACACTGTTGATAAATGTACCTTAACAGAGATTATTGTTCTGTAAACAGAAAATATTTACCTGAGTAACGGTACAGACTGATATCTTTGAATAAATTATTTTCAAAAATTTAAGTTGTCTGTAATAACAAAAGATTTTACACATAATAATTGACTTCTTGTGACATATACTTTAACCCTTTCGCGCCGAGCGCTGCATATAGTGTATACAGAAGACGCAGATGTGTAATTTGTAGCAAAAATGATAAAAGAACGGATTCGCGGTACGAGTGCAAAGATTGCGATGTCGGCCTTCGTATAGATCCTTGCTTTCAAATATATCGCACAGAATTATATTATTAGTTTTTACACATTATTATATTTTAATACCTTTCGTCTCGTTATTAATTATATTAAACGTTTAATCGTTAGGCTTTGTGTAATTACATAAATACCTATGTTACCTATAATTTTGTAAGTCTTTTTAAATTAAAAATGGGAATATACTTGTTACATTGGAGCAACGATTGTTTGATTCGGCACAGTTATTATTTGAGACTTGGAACAACATATATACAGAAACCACNTTTCGTCTCGTTATTAATTATATTAAACGTTTAATCGTTAGGCTTTGTGTAATTACATAAATACCTATGTTACCTATAATTTTGTAAGTCTTTTTAAATTAAAAATGGGAATATACTTGTTACATTGGAGCAACGATTGTTTGATTCGGCACAGTTATTATTTGAGACTTGGAACAACATATATACAGAAACCACGCGCACTGTGCATATTTCCGGAACGAGTTTCCGTTCGGTGATGGAACTGCCGTAGCGAAAGGGTTAAAGCTTTCTATTATCAATGGCATTTTATATGTTGTGATTGCAACGTAATCCACACAGAATATATGTAGAATCTACAAATTGATACGGTTTTCAAATACCTAACATACTTATATTATAATCTCTTTCTTGATATAGAATTTGTATCATAGATTTAAGCCAATGAAAATACAATAATCTATGTAAATGATAAAATGTATACATTATTTTACATTACTTATACAATTTTTCATGTATTCTTTGATATGATTAATCCACGTGCTTCACATTCATTGGAATGTACGATACTAAAATCCGATCAAAGATCAATTATCAGTGTGGATGCAAACATTCAATATTTCTTAAATGGTCACGTTTGAGATAGATTGATATCGGTAATTTTGGAACCGTGTAGTTAGATTAGACATTATAGCTGATATGATCATTTTCTGATATGTAAGATAAGGAAAAAAATATATGGTACATATGTTTCCGTGGAAAGCATATTTCACATACTCTTTTCTATGTCATCACATATATATTAAATCGTGTTCGTTTCCTATATAGAAAACTGTGCTGCAAAGTATTAAGGATGAAGATCACAGTTTCACTGGCGACGCCTACACGAGTTTATCCATTACTTATGCAGTCTTAGCCATTTGCAACTGGTTAGCTCCATCGTACATCTCAATAACAGGGCCACGAATTGCTATTCTAACTGGCGCTTGCTGTTTCATCCTTTTCCTAGCGTCGTTCCTGTGGCCTCAGGATGTTCTACTCTATATTGCCTCCTGTGTTCTTGGCCTTGGTGCTGCTTTGATATGGACAGGGCACGGACAGTACCTAACAGAGAACAGCAACGCCGAAACCATGTCCAGAAACGCAGGAGTGTTCTGGACAGTCTTCCAAACGTCGATGTTCATCGGCAATCTGTTCGTGTACTTCATGTTCAGAAAGCCAAAAATCGACGGTTCGACGAGGATAATCGTTTCTTGCGTGCTAACCGGCTTATGCATCGCCGGCACCTGCCTCCTGGCTACATTAGGGAGATCATTACAGAGGCGGGTTCTGGGTGAGGCTGTAGGAGTCTCCAGCACCGACAAGAAAATTCAAATACCAGGACCTGCAAGAGAAAGGCCATTGATAGCTGCTTGGGATGCGCTTATAGATGCGACCAGACTTTTCTTCACGCCAAAGATGCTTCTGCTGTCCTTGACCTTTCTGTACACTGGTTTCGTGTTAACATTCTATTCAAGTGTTTATTCATCAAGTATTGGATTCACCAAGGCAATTGGCGAATCGCGTAAGAGTTTGATAGGCCTCTCAGGAATTTTTCTTGGATTCGGAGAGGTCATTGGTGGAGCCATCTTTGGTATTTTTGCATCAAAGTTGGCTCACAATTGCGGCGGATGGTTGGTTGTAGTTACTGGCTGTGGTGTACATCTATTTGCTTTCATCTCCATTTTCTTGAACTTGCCAAACGACTCACCGTTTTCGGAGACCGACAAAGTAGGGTTCATCACACCTTCACCAATCTTAGCTATGGCCGGAAGTCTTGCATTGGGCTTTGGTGATGCTTGCTTCAACACCCAAATATACTCATTGCTCGGTACACTTTTTGCGAAACAGAGTGCATCAGCATTCGCGCTGTTCAAATGTTGCCACTCGGTCGCGGCTGCCATCAGTTTTGGCTACACCAGTCGTGTCGGCCTTCATATACAGCTTCTTATATTGACGATAACTATCGTCATTGGTACCGTTACCTTCTGTTACGTCGAACGCATTTCAAGAAGGGAAGCCGATAACAACGCGACCGACACCAACCCTACTCTCGTTAAGTAGCAAACGGACTGTGAATGTGCTCAACCAATAATTTGCAATGATTGAAAACGTTCTATTTGCTCAAGATTATTAGAATGGAATAGAATTATACATTTCAAACATTTGATTTTTTAAAATTACTAACAGAAAGTGGGAAACAGTATCAGTTTAATAATTCGAGCTAAATTGTTATGCAAAAATAAACATCTGAAAATCAGCTGTTATACAAATTGTAATAGATTATTATACGAGTTTCTGTATATATACATTTACACATGTATTTAACATACACATATGTACATATATTTAACTATACACAACTAAAAAAAAATATCAATATCATACAGCGATGTGATAATTATTGGCACAATGTTCTTGACTGTCTATTCTTATGGAAATTTCATTGAATAAACAATTTTTTCATTAAGTGTCTTGAATTACACATTATCCCACATAAGAGATTCAAGATTAAATTCATAAATGAAGTGCCCCAGAACAGACAGAGACAGATTGTACATATGTAACTACACCGTTCAATAAGTAGATCGTAAGATTAATCAACTACTGAAATGTTACAATATCAATTATATTATTTGACAAATTTTTATTATGTGTTTCTCTATTTATTTGTCTCTCCTTGATTTTCATATAAATATAGATCTATCAATCGTCAAGTTGACATAAAGATGCTGCTCCTCTTTTAATCCAGTGAGATTCACTAACTATTGTCAAAAGTAAAATGTATAAAACAAAGTTGGATGAATGACCAGTGGTAGCTAAAACGCCACGTCTTGCGCTTGTCTTATATACCGGGCAATGATACACAGATTTAGCAATAAATTGGGCTTTTTCACCAGGCTGTAGCCATATTATTGGTAAAACATCAAACATTATTTTGAGCTTTGACTCATCTATTGTCTTTTCTTCTCTATTCCATCTAGCACCTTCTAAAAATAAGCCCTGAGAGAAAGTAGAAAAATTAAAAAGTACTCAAAACATGTAGTAACGTTTCTTCAAATGTACCTTTATGTATACTCCATAGGATGGTGCAGTGTTCACGCTGGTTTCGAATGCAGTCACTTCAAATTCGAAGTCCACCCTGTCGATTGGAATTTTATTTTTACGCGCGAAGTTCTGCAAGACGCCGGTGAGGAACGATTGAGTAAAGAAGAAACCGGATATCCAGAACACATTTGGTGCATCGAAGTCTATCCAGTTTTGAAAGAACTCTAATCTCTCAATTAAATCATTTACATAGCTTCCGAGCGGTTTCAAGGACGGATAGGACCTTTTATTCCAAGCTCCAGGCACTTTGCCGATGCTCATGCTCGTTGAAACCTCTTCTAACTCTGCTGACATTAGAACCAAGCCTTTGATGGCTTTTTGCGTGTCCGCCAAGGTGTTTCTAATAACGAGCAACAAGTTATTGAATCTGATCAGCTCCTGCCGAAGAACCGTATTCATGCTGTTCATGTAAAGCACTGGATAGTTCTTAGCCACTTCCACAACGTCGAAGGGCAATCTCATTTTAGATAGAATATCGTCGCATAAATTAAAAACCATAGCGTCCACGTCTCGCTCGACCCCAACACCAGTAATCTGTGGCTGTGTTAGTAAAGCTCCATCGAGCAGTTGCATAGACTCCTGATTATCCTTCGTTATATCCGCATTCTCGTGTAGACCATAGACCTCGGGGTGCTGATCAATTGGCAAACTTCGAATGTATGCTACACAAGCTTGATGCTCGGTATTTAGAGGCATACGGTACATACAACTTGGTGAAAAACAGTATCTAAAAGAAATAGCAACAGATAAGTTGCAAGGTGAATTGTTTAAAATCGGGATTTAGATCATCTTTGTTTAAACTAACTTACTCTTGCTGAGTGATAACTGCGGCATTGTAGAACCCTTGAAGTAAGGAATTCAATAGACGTCTGTCTTTATCATCTGTAACGCGTCCACCATAATTGCATTCGCCAGTAAGATAAAGAAGCGCGTCAAAAGGCACTTTTTCATAATCATTTAAGAAGAGCTAAAAAGAAGTTAATTGTGATTAACCTCTGTCCAATGTTATAAGATAAATTAAATTTTTCTTAAATAAATGAAATTCTTTTCACCTGTAATTGTAGAATACTAATTCGCCGTCAATCAGTCAACCAAGACGAATCTGGATTAGGGAAAGGATTGTCCAACGCTACTCCGCCAGTTAACAAGAACGTCCAAAGATTTTCTTCCAATTCGTGAGCTGCACGCATTAGACCAACGCACAGGACATAGGAGAATATTAGCTTGTCCTTCTCAAATAAGAACCGGCACACGTTTCCGTAGATGCTGGCAGTGAAGTACGTGTTCATGCTTTTTATCCGGACAGCCAAGTTCGAAGTTTGCTCGCTGTTGGCTATTGCCATGATGTACAGGTGAATAAACCACACTAGAGAGTACTGATACATCGGGTCAATGTTTGTCAGCTCTGAGATGCAGAAGAAGAGGACGGATCTCTGCTATGAAATGTCTGCCTTTCTTGAATATTCTCTGGCAAGTAATGAGGATTCCGCAGGCGCGTGGTAATATAAAATTTGAAATCGGTGTTGTACTCGATAATCTGCTGTGCAATCATTGAAAGTACTTCCTGCTCGATTCAATCGAACTCGTCGAAGTAGCCTCAGCTCTAGACTGATCGAATCCTTTGAAGATCTTCCCCATCGCCTTGTAGTCCAGACCATTCGAGCAATTGCATACCACACACTGCTTG